TATCTATGGTCCTTCTAAAAGAAGTTGAGGCGACTTCAAACAATTTTTTGAAGACTTACCTTGTCTGTCGCCGAAACTCCTCATCAGATCTATATTAAAATTTAAATGGGACCATTTCGGTATAAACCCCTTTCAAATAAAAAAGAATTTTTAAAATCTGTCTATACAGATATATATGGAATTATGCCCGAACATACATAAATAAAATACATATAAACATCCGAATTGATAACGTTCTCCTTTTTGAAGTCGGTTAAAAAATAATAAGTAAGATCCACAACAGGCAACACTAAACCACCGGTTTTTTTTTTTATTTTACCCGGTCTACTTACACAAGTGACTGCACGGATGGCGTAGTGGTTTAAGCGGTCCCCACCTCACGCCGCTTACTACTACGCTGAGTGTTGTGGGGTCCGATCCCGCACGTAGTTGTGACTTTTGAGTTGCGTCCATGGGCGGCGGTAGTTGCCTGCCATCAAGTGACCAGTCTGCTAGTTTGCCCCCTTATATCATAAAACTTATATAGATTTAATAATAAACCCTAAGATATAATACTATACGGGCTTATACAGTAACTTCCATAAATCTGTAAAACTATAATCGATTTGTAAATACAAAGAAATGATATTGATATCTCTTGAGAATCACGGCAATCGATTTTTATAGCCCCGTCCTTATTCATCAATCTGTCAGAACTTTCAAACGGTACCTCTTAGTTGATAAGAGATTAGATGGACTATAATAATCTAAGTGTGTATAATTATAGGACATAGTTCCATTTGTACAAAAGTTAAAAAACTTTAAAATGAATTATTTATCGGAAACTAACGAGAACGAACGTTTACAGATTGACTTTGTCCTAAACTGTCACAGTATTATTATGTATTCTTATTACATTTTTAGAGTAAAATAATTTAACCTCCGGATTCACACAATACCTAAAACACCGACTACGTAGTTTATTTACAAAAAGAAACACTCTAGGCGTATACTCACTAGTGTAAATTAGTAAAAATCAGTATTTAAGCCACTCAAATTATGTTATTTTGACATTTTATCACAAAAAAAAATCACTGTCACTAAAACGCGCCAAAATAGGCCGAGTAGCACGTGTTCTGCGTCCGAATAAATAGTAAATGTAAAACAAATAAACAAATGTCAGTAACGAAAACAGCGTCACGTAGCTTTGAGGCCCTCGAAGGAGTGGCGGCGACGCGATAGAATCGTATATCTGAAGGTTATTATATACCGCGTATTTTGACAACATAACGGAATATGTAAATAATTTGAAACTAAAACTTTTATGAGACTCCATATGTAAAATTACACAGATTATTAGTGACATTTAGTGGTTTAGTGCTCTCACAGAATGACTAATAGAATTCTAGACAGAAACATGGTCACTATGCTATGGAACTATTTAAGTAATTAGCGACTCTATTGTATAAGTTGTGAAGTGTAATCCAGTGTGATTCTAAACGTAGTGTGGAGATAAGGAAACAGCTTCTGTATCATATGAAAAGTTTCTGTCAAAATGCGTTTAAAAGAGTGGGGTTACTGTAGCAGTAAAGTTATGAAAGCGTCGACTGCTATTAGGACATCAAACTATTATTGAAAATATGTAAACATATCTTATTTTATCAAGTTTACTTCTGTCTTAAATAAAAACAATAATATTCTACTAAATTCACACAACGCCATCTAGTCCCAAACTAAGCAGAGCTTGTACTATAGGTACTAGACAACTGATATGTAGATACTTCTATTTATAAATACTGTTGCGCCATAGTATTGAGTGGTTCTTGCGTTGTGTCTGGAGGACAGCGCCATCTAATATCAAGTGGGGCACAACGAACGCTAGGCATTGAGATAATGGTTCTTAATTCCGATGGTTGTAGTGCCATCTAGTGTCGAATATCGGAAGATCATAAAAATCAGTAGCACACAAATTTTTGACATGAGCGGGAAACGAACCAGCGATCTTTGAGGTAGCAGTCCGTTATACAGAAAACTACGCCATCCGGCCGTCAAAAAAGGTTAAAATAACGGTTTTGTTATCATCATCATCATCATCATCATCAACAGCCTATAATAGTTCACTGCTGGACATAGGCCTCTCCTTAGAAAGGAGGTTTTGGCCTACTATACCACGCTGGCCAGAAGGGTTGGTATAGGGTTTGTTTCAAGTGTCCTTCTTTTTGCAGTGCTCTTGTCTTGTGCAGTTTGTTCCCTTAGTTGGCTCTTACGACACCCACAGGATGAATAGGGGTGGTGACATTCCGTATTCTTAATCCGTCACTACACGGATTTGTTATTATGTAGGTGGCAAACAAGCAGAATAATAATTATCTGTATTAAAATCATCATCATCATCATCAGCCCATCGCAGTCCACTGCTGGTCATAGGCCTCTTCTCTTGCACTCCACTTCAATCAGTTTTCGGCTTATTTTTTTTAAATCATATAGACGTGATAATGAATTTAAAAAAGTATCACTGACTTCAAAGCGCTTCCATCATGACAAATTGAAAGAAACTGTGTTCTTGGTGAATTTTTCTTCCAATTTGAATGGGACCATGGATCAGGCCTAGTTAACATGGGTTACCTAGATAAACGAGGCTTGGCAAACGTCCACAAGCTCCAAGCCTTAACAAACGCTTGGATGCCATTTACAAGCTTGCGAGTGTGTTAGTGTGTTCCAGACAGGCAAACATAGCAGACGTGGACATGTTTTATTCAAAATTTAAACGGCGGCACTAAGCAAAAAGCCTTCTACTCAACCAGTGGAGTATTGAGACTCAATGTTGATTCCCGGATGCTAAACTGGAAACTGGTTTATAAAACCGGAAAACCGATAACGATTATGAGAAGGATTTTATAACGTTTGGTTTATGACATTAGTATAGGCACGGTACTATTATAATACAGTACTTCAACTTCATACAAACGGACGAAATGCGAGCTATACCTACGCGCCTCGATCTCGGGGTGCGCTCGGGGCGCAGACAGTCACGGCTGTACCGCAGTGTCGAACGGACTGTGTGTTGTTTTTTTAACAATAACCGCGCGATTTTTTCTCTAAAAATCTGTTAATATGACGAGTAGGAAATATTGTGCTGTTTTTGGTTGTATGAATTCGTCAATAACGCATCCAGACATAAGTTTTTTTAAATTACCTGGAAACTCTGAAAGGTAAGACTATAAAATAATTTTACTTACTAGTAGGTAGGTACATAATGTGTGTCTTTTTAATGGATAAGTATTTCCTTTTATCTCACGAAAAAAAAGGTGTTTGGATGAATAAATAAAGCAAATAGAGTAACGGAAAGTTATTGAGACGAGTGAAATAGGGAGTTATATGCGGTTCTGAATGAATCATGATACGGTAGGTACCTACCTACTTACGCTTGTGTTAAAACTTCGGTGCATGTGTGTTTTTTTACTTTGCATAATTCAAAGTAAAGACGTGGTATTTTATTATTAATAATATTTGTTTATTATCTGTGTGTATGAATAATACTAAAAAAAAATTTTTACCGTCTGTGTGTCATTAGACAGTTTTCGAAATTTTAACAAAGTGTTTCTGCTGCTACTATAACAACATATACCATTAAAAACTGGTTTTATTTTCTCGGTATTAACCACAACAGCTAGACTCATATATAATATTTAGATGTTTGAGGGTTGTGATTTTAAAACATTCGTAGTCAGCTGTTCAGCTTTTTAATAATTAATTAATTGGTGAACAAAGAATTTTTGTTTTGAGTTGTTGCGAGTTGTAGGTAGGTACCTAATTTATAGAGACGTTAATAAGCTGAGATAAAAAGTTACTTACTCGTCAGCTGTTTCTTGCATTCTAGTTGAGTAGGTAGGTGTTGGAGTTTCTAAGGATTGGAGTTTTGTAACGCGTAAGGAGAAAGCACATTTATTTTATTTTATAGAAGGATTTTTTTCGGTCGCAAATTTATAAGCCCGATTTGTTTTTCAAACAAAAACATGTTTTTTTTAATTAAATCTACCAATCAAAAAACAACACGCATTTTTATTGAACACTTCCGATTCAATATACAAAGTATTTGTTTTATTTATATAAAAAGGATATTTACAATCACAAATCTAAATAGAAACAGAAAGTAGGCAAATATAATTAAAATGCTGAGGACGGGCAGCCCTAACGCATGTTTACGTACCGCGCGGCTGTAGGCATTTATTTCTATCATGCGGCCGAGTTACACTACTGTATTATAATTGTACCGTGGTATAGGTGTGTTGTTGCCAAATCGACCAGAGATAATTATTCAGGTCAAAAATTGATACATTGCAGTTCAGCCGAAAAGGTTCATGGTACAATTAGAAAACCTGTCAGGTTATCTGTAAAGTTGAGCTGCTCTGAATTTGGCAGTTATTTGGAAAGTTCATGGTAGGCCCCCTGGTATTAAGTTGAGCAGTGGGGAACAAAGCACGCCCCAACATGTAATTTATACGTCGCAAACACAGCTCGAAGGAAGCTTGAGTTCCTTTGATCTTTGTTCAAAAACCGACGCTAGTCCCGATCGACGACCAGCTCAGGCAAGCCGAGCCAAACACTTTTGTGTTTGTGAACAGTTGTCATCAACCAATATCTATCAAGCAAATAAAAAGGGAATTTTTAAGGGGGCCCTTAAAAATTCCCTTTTTATTTGCTAACTTTTTCTAGGATCTTTATAAATATGAATAACAGACAAAAAGGAGAAGGCCAAATTAGATTGGAAGAAGCTTAGTGTGCTGAACAGGTCCAGATAGTTTTATACGGCAACTTTATCAGGCACAAGATTGGCCACATATGGAATACTGTTCTCATCTCTTTGAAGGGGCACCCTAAGACCAGCTCTCCCTCTGGACCGCATCGAAATGAGAGCAACTTGAATTGTCAAGAGAGAGAGTTTCAAGTTTTTTGAACTGAGAATCATAATCCTGCTTTAGAGGTTTTATTACTTAATAATAAACATATACAATTCTATTTCAGTCTCTATACACACGGAGGACACTGGTAATTTTCTTGCGACATGTAGGACACGATCCTCTCCCCCTCCCCTGCCACAGGTCGAGGGCACAGTCGTGACAGGTGTACATGTGGCCGCACGGAGACAGGGCTGTGTCGGTCGGTTTGTTGCAACATATGATGCATTTAGAGCTGGAGGAGCTGGTTTCAGTCTGGTGGAGTGTCCTGGCACTTCGACTGGATGACGAGGGAATCTGAAAGAAAACCATAATCATAGTTTAAAATAATACAGCTGATGTCTCCTCTTTTAAGAAGAGAAATTGCGGCTCTATCACTTGTACTTTATGCCATCTAGCGAATAGTAGCGGAATTAAGTCGAAGCTACTGACGTTAAATCACGGTATTGATGTTCTATAGTTGTTGGTCTAACTACCTCAGAAAGTTGACCGGAATTGCTGAATTGCGCACGTTCTGACAGGCCTATATCCAGCCGTAGACGTATTGTCCTGATCCTGCTATCCTTGACTTATTAATGTTTTAACTGGAATTTGCCTAATGATTTAATGATTATTGAAAGGAGAATGCCCATACTCTATTGAGTCACAGGTACATTCGACACGGATATTTCGAAAATGCGGTTAAACATTGATAAAATATTATTTGTTGAGACAAAGTTAAACAAAAAGTAGACTCTTAAGAGTTAATTTAGTTTGACGCAAGATGGTACGGATACCCTAACAAATATTAGTATTCTCCTTTTTGTAGTACAATGTGACGTATAGTAATTTTTCTTAGCTTTAGACATTTCATGCGGTGCTTACTTTTAAACGCTATCCCATTTATTAGTTGCACTAAAAACATTTTTTTATTTTTTTATTTCAGAGGGGGCAGACGAACCTTATCTGCATCCTGTATATTTTTTCGATATATGTTTTGTAGGTGCGGCCGTAACTATTTAAGCCGTGGCCAATAACAGTCTGCTAGTGCCATATACAATAAACGCAAAGTTTTTTTTTATGTTAGAGGGGGCAGACGAGCGACGGGTCACCTGATGGAAAGTGACCCTCGCCGGTCATGAACGTCTGTAACTCAGGAGTCACAAACACGTTGCCGCCCTTTTAGGAAGGAGTACGCTCTTTTCTTGAAGGTTTGAAGGTCGTATCGGTCCGGAAATACCGCAGACGATAACCCGTGGAGTAGAAATGGATTATGCCACACATTATCCACAAGTTCGTCTATGGCTAATTTGTGGCATAAATCCATTTTCTTGTTCACGCATAGTGCTGAGTAAAACTTACAGAATGTGTCGAGCTTTGTCCTTCTCTCACTGGAACAACATTACTAAGAGCTCTTCTCGGTATTGCTTCACGATCAAATTCAGCAAAATAATGTTCAGGAATAGATAGAACTGCCCATAGGCTAACGTTTGTCCTGTCGACTCTTGGACCTGTCCAAGTCCTTTGACTGTCACTAAACCAGATTTCTCCTAACGAATCAACACAGAACTGGAGTCTATATCCAAAGTATATGGGTAGCTCGCTGACCCAGTAGCCCGGTAGCCTTCCGAGCTGAGAGATTTTAGGTACACGGGTCAAAGTACTTGGATTATTTTCGGTGAAACCCAGGGTAACTATCGAAGAAGGTTTTTTGGCCTTTGGCGAAATGCTGGCATAATGCCCAAAATGAAGGGGAACCTGGAAATAATGTATAAATTACTGTTCTGGTATGGTCGCCTGGTCAGCTGACGTCCCTATCTTATCTTTATATATATAATTCTTCTGTGAGTGTGTATGTCACTGAACTTCTCTCAAACGACTGGACCGATTTTGAGGAAATTTTTTGTGTGTGTTCAAGGGGATCTGGGAATGGTTTAGATTCACAATTTTGTCCGCTGGACAATGTTTTTTAAATTAATTTTTAATTTATTAGTAGTTGTTAATTTTGGAATGTTTTACATTGGATCAGACAGACGGCGCTACCATCGCAGTGTCAAATTTGACAGGACAACGTCTGTCGGGTCCGCTAGTTTATTTATAAAAATTAACTTACAGTTGTGGAACCAAAGCGCTTAAATGTTAACTTACTTATACTAGTTTAATACAAAACATTATACAATCCATAGCTTTGAATAACAATTATAGTGCACCAATTAACATAATGAGGGTTTTCGATATTTTTTCTGCCACCAGACGGCGCTTCGTATGCGTCAGGTTCAAACAGCTGTCAGATAGCACAGATTCTTACCGAACGTATAAGTTTTTAGCGAAATTCTATGAATTTGGAAGTGTTATTGAGTTTATTATAGATTACGGCCAGAGAAAGGTTGCCGAACTGAAGATTGAGCTCAAAAGAGAGGCGCAAAAGTTTTATTTGCACACATAGGCACTGCACAACACTGTGGCATTTTAGAAAACAATATTCCTTTTATAACGTTTTTAAGAATGATTAAACCAAAAAAATCATCGAAACATACAAATCGTGTATGTGTTTTGACAGGTGGTTGGACCTGACTGATAGTGCTGCCACCTCACGTGCAACATTTCAGAAAACCCTCATTGACTGAAACACAAAAACAAGTACATAATTATAACACCGCCAATACCATAACCATAATTATATTCCAAGTAAATAATTATATTAAGACAAATTCAAGAGCAGGAGTACCCTTACAGACATAATATTCGGCCTGTCACTGAATATTTTAATTTTTTTTAAAAAGACAACCCGCATTAGGAGTATATCCTGTGTGGGGGACTTTACAAACATACATGAAACTGACACAAAGAACACCCAGACTCAGAACAACCATTTGTGGATCACACAAAGTGTCGTCCCATGTGGGGTTTGAACCCACAACGCTCGGTGTAGCAGGAAGCGGCGTGGCGAACGCTTAGACCACTACGCCATCCGTGCAGTAAAATAGGTCTATAATCCTAATAAGGATTGGACGTGCTACCCGCCCAAAATAAAGGAAGGATATTACTATGCTGCAAATTTCGAAAGTGTGTGTGGAATCCACACGAGGGCGCAAATATAGCTAAGAACCATCACATGCTCATTCGTTCAGTAGCTACGATGGCACCGACCCTTCAGACTCATAATACCCCCCTTTTTGCGTCGGGAGCCAAAGAGGAGTTACTTACCGTTTCACCGACTTGGATAGGCCTGTGACTAAAAAGCTTCGCCCGGGGGTACCGGGGGCGCCATTTATTATCAAAGAGGCGTAGCGAAGCAAAACACCTTGGGGATTACACGGTTAACACCCGAAAGTAAAATATCCTTGCCACGGAATTCATGGAAAAAACAAGGGTTTGCTGGGGGCCATGATCGGGTGCGAGGGCTGGTCGGAAGTCAAAATAAAATGTGAGGGTTTTTTCACGGTCCGTAATTTGGGAAAGGGACAAAGGTGTGGCGCGATAGGCAGGGAGCAGAACAAGCGCGATAGACAGAATAAATAAATAAAAATATAATAAAAAATAATTTATTGAAAATAAAAAACAATAAAACAAAACTACAACAAAGTTCTATATTTTCAGAGTAGCACAGTCTATATATTTTTAAAGAAATTTTAGGCTGTAAAATATATGCATTTATCGAAAAGGTAAGTGAAAGTAATAAATTTAAACTTCACATCAAACACCCCCTCAACCACACAACACCACTTCCTGCCCTTGACCGCAGGATGGCTAGGGGTTTAGGCGGGCCACGCCGCTTCCTACTACGCCGATGTTGGGGGTTCAACCCCCTGGGACGCATTTTTTGTTGACCCAAAAATTGTTGTTTGACTGGGCGTTCTTTTGTCCGTTTCTGTATTTTGAAAAAGTCCCCCGCGACACGGATTTATTCCAATGCGGGAGTTGTCTTTTTTAAAACAATAAAAAAACATAAACCCCATAACCCACAAAAGCACCCGGGAAAGTGTGATCTTTTGGTGTCCAAATGTGTCTGTAGGCACCTTTTAAATCGTGATTTTTCTTCCCCAAAAACCCCATCTTTCTGTGCCACCCACCCGATAATATGTTATTTAGTAATTATTTGGCCCCCAAATGAAAGCGTCTACTCTATTTTGAATGTTTAGAATAGTTTTAAAAAGCATTATTCGAATGTTTATTTAAATGAATCGTGAAAAGGGCACTTCATAAATCTACTTTTGCACAACTTATTAGCGCGTGGATCGCTTTATTCCCCCCCCTATCATAGCCTATCAATTTTAAAAAAATATGACATATAATCCAAAATACTTTTTAGATGTTTGCTATGTTAATTTAGAATTTTTTTCTTTTTTTTAAAGTTTTAAAAAAAATTTATATCTAAATTAAAAAGAGATCTAGACCCCCTTAATCCTAATACATACAAAAGAAATAAAATAATTAAGGTATCTTTGGAACATGATATCTGATCGATAATTTTTTTACTCTGTACAATATTTAAACTCATTTTTATTTCTATACAAAGTAACGTTACCAATCAAAACGGTTAACCATTTGGTTTGTTTACAGTCGCTAATACAAAAAAATCTTTTCCTAAAGACAGGGTATTGCTTTTTCATATATTTGCAAATAATGTAAATAAAATAAAATTTAGTCAAATACAAAATTACATATAAATTTTTTACAACGCATTTCGACACTCAAATCAAACTAGTCAACAATGAAGCATCACAAATCAGAATCGACACATTCCCTGATAGCTAGACCATATTAGCTTAAATTACTTACCGTTAACTCCTATCCAGAAAATAACTTTTGCCAAGATATAACTCCGCAACACAACTACAGTACAGTATAGTACGATGACCACTAGCACCTGAACTAGGCCGAGCCTGTATCTCAGATGCTAGTATCTTCCAGAGACATTATTCACTCATTTTACTATTATCGTTATAGTACCTTAGTGGCTATTTAACTCTTTCCTATCACTTGTACAAACTAACAATTCTAACATTTGAGTACCCTCGCATTAGGAATATTTTGTTCAAAGTTCGACAAGCGAAGTTAGACCACAGTATGTTTGAACCGGACACTATACAGCTACTTAGTAATTTCAAATAACTTTTCTGTAAAATCGTAATTTTTAGTTTTAAGCCATGTTACAAGCGTCTTCTTACATTGATGCCTGTTATTAGGTTCATAGGTAGTTGTATTGTTATTTATTATTGCCACAACTAAGTATATCTTAGAGAAACAAATACGCACGTAAGAAGCTGCTATGAAAATTGATACTCCATTTTCATAATCTGGCTAAGACCTGCTTCGTTTATTAATTTAATTGGACGGGCCTGTTGGTCTAGTGGTTAGTGACCCTGACTGCTAAGCCAGAGGTCGTGGGTTCGATTCCCACCCAGGACAAATATTGTGTGATGAGCACGGTCATTTGTTCTGTGTCTGGGTGTAATTTATCTATAATATGTATGTATTTAAAAATATATAAGTATGTTTATCAGCAGTCTGGTTACCATAGTACAGGCTCTGCCTAGTTTGGGATCAGACGGCCGTGTGTGAGATGTGTGAGATATATTAAAAAAAAATATTAAAAAAATTTACTTTTTATTTATATGACACTCCGACAGCCCAATTACTTTGGACAGAACGAAATCTTTCGGGACAGCTAGTAAGGCTAGGAACTTAGATTATTAGTAATGTAAGGCTAGTAATTTATAAAATATTATGATAAAGTAACTGAACTGGAGTATTCAAACCAATTCAGTATGTTTACTGCATGGCTTTTTAAGGCGCGCAAGCAGGATGTGACTTACATAAATAGTTTCTATAAATAGCGCATCAAAACATTTTTATCACTTAAGCAAACTTTAATCAACACAAAATGATATATACCTAACACCACATAGTAGTTACAATTTAACTGTTCCGTGCCTAACACAAAGTCTAAGAATTACATTCTAACATAAATCTAATACTTACATTTTAGGTAAAAGCGCAGATCCTGCGTAGAACTTAAAGGTACTAAGTACTATTAGAAAAAACAAACAATAAAAATATCTATGATATTTAGTTACGTGTGCGTTTATTTGTATCAAATTATAACATTACAAAAACAAAAGCTACTGCAATACTACACTTAAGTGTCTGGATGCAACAGATATAAAACCATTAATATTACCGCGAAAACGACGCGCGACATAGAGGCCCCGCGGGAATAATAAATGGGAAGCACTGTCATGCAGTGTTGCCAACAGTTAAATGAACTCTCCACCAGAAAACCACTAACGAAAAAAAAGGCGGGTAATTTGTTTGAGAGGGTACTCTCTGCCCGCATTGTCCGCCATCTCTACGAGGTCATCAGAAATCATCCTTTCAGGGGGTGAAAAGGGGGGTGGAAGTTTGTATGGGGAATCAATAACCGGTGAACCGATTAAGGTGACATGGGCTACTTTTTACCGCGATAGCCGATATATACGCGTTATACTCAAAACCATTCCCGTCTTTCCCACTGGGTACTCTGGCCACGTGCCCAGGGCCCCTCGACCGATAGGGGTCCCATAATTCCTGCCGAATAACCAGGTATAACCGATATTGATTCCCGAAAAACATATTTATTTCAAAAAATCCAGCGATAATGACTGACTCTAATATTTTCTGACTGTCTGTCTATTCTTACAAAACAGTGCTCAGTCAAGGTCGTAGGGACCCCATTATCGTAATGTGCCATGGGCCTACGGGTCTGCTAATAACAGAGTAAAATCGTCGTAATAAACCATTACGGAACAATGCATGTACGAGTATCTTTTCATACGAATAATTTAAAATAAATATGCTACACGCCCGGTTAGAAAATAATTATTGCAGTTTTCATCACTTCTTCATTAAAATAAATATCTTTATCAGACTGACCCATAGAAAACCTATTTGTATTTTTATTTATTTACTAGTTGAGACCCCCGGTGTTACCCGCGTTTGTTGTAATAACCGCGGGCAACGCCGCGGGGCGAAGCCTAAGTTACTCCTTATGTCATCAGCTATCTGCCAGTGAAAGTCCCGTCGAAATCGGTCCAGCCGTTCCAGAGATTATCCCGAACAAACAGACAGACAGACAGACAAAAATTGTAAAAAATGTTATTTTGGCATATGTACCGTGTAAACATAGATATGCGTTTAGTAAAAAGCGGTTATTTTAATATTACAAACAGACACTCCAATTTTATTTATTTGTATAGAAGATGTATAGATATAGATTTGTAAACTAACCAGCTATGTCACATACTTATCTCATGAGTGAAGTTAAACATTACAATGAACTCTTAGCCAAAAGTAAAGAGGTAAGTAGTTTTATCCTCACTACTTGGATAGTTGGCGCTCCACTACTGTGCGCTTTTCGAGGCTCTTTGCCTCGCACAACCAATCTGTGGAACGGGTTATCGTCTGCGGTATTTCCGGACCGATACGACCTTCAAACCTTCAAGAAAAGAGCGCACTCCTTCCTAAAAGGCCGGCAACGCGTTTGTGACTCCTGAGTTGCAGACGTTCATGGGCGGCGATAGTCACTTTCCATGAGGTGACCCGTCTGCTCGTCTGCCCCCTCTAACATAAAAAAAAAAATCGGTTGTCTGTAAAGTCGGTTTACTGGCGATAGTTGAACGTGACAACGTCATAAGAAAATACTGATGGAATGGTTGCATTTTTCAAAAATGTATTATTGTATACGAGTAGCAGCTGTCCACGCGGACGCATCGCTCACTCAAGTAGGAGAGAGACAGATGTCGAACGCTGCCGAACGCGGAGGCCGATTGTGCCTCTTTGTCGCTCGTTCCGCGCTCTCGCTTGCACTTCACGCCTTAAATGGAACGCCTCAGAGCGAGGTAACGCCGCATGAGTCATGTTTTTTCGTGCGTGCAGCCGGCTCCATCGAATTATAAGACGTTGTCACGTCAAAAACTTTGCGTTAATTGTATGTGGCACTAGCAGACTCTGTTATTAGCCACGGCTCAAATAGTTACGGCCGCACCTACGAAACATATATCGAAAAAATAAACAGGATGCAGATTTGTGCCGTTTAATGTGAAATCAGAACATTGTGACAATTACAATGAATTGTTTAAATACTGCCGGGTATTACCAGTACCATCTGAGATAAAAATTGCATTCATTAAAGAAGAAATTCTAAACATAAACCAGCTTTGTAAACAAAAACGTAAAATCAATTTAAGACAGCTGTCAAATTTAAAGACTTATTGCTTGCTAAATTTTAACAATGTATATGGAAATAGAACATGTCGTTACGTA